ATGATGCAATATCATCTTCATAGAACACCATGCAGTGATCAAAATGGATTAAGTTGATTTATATGCACTGACACAGAACTTTTTACAAGACCTGTTGTTTAAGTGATAAACTGGTAGTCACAGAAAATACATATAGTATGATGTCATCATGTTAAAGCAAACACAAAAATACCCTTATATCTTTGGTTGTTTGAGAGGTGGGCTCAGCAACAGACTGGGTGGGGTGACAGGATGGTTTTTCAGTCCCATCCAGTTCTGAGATTCTGTAATCCTATGAAGTCAAAGCTTATAGTTCCTTTAAAAAGTATACTGCTTTGACCCATATAAGAAAACTGTAAAACTTTATGGAGGGACATAAAAGAAGGCCTGGCTAAATGGAGACACATGTCAAGTTTCTTGGATTGATAGAGTCAACCTTGTAGAAGTATAACAGTCTTCAAAATTAATTTAAGTTTAAAAACAGCAATAACAAAATTAATATCCCTGTGCATTTTTGGGTGGGGAGGACTTGAAAAAGTCTTCTAAAAGTTGTCCTGAAGGTCAAACATATTAAGAAGAGCCAGAAAGTATTTGAAAATGAAATCTATATTGTAAAGTTAGAACGTTAGCATCATGTACTAGTGCTAGAACAGACAAAGGAACAAAAGAGAAAACTCCAGAAGCAGAGAATTTAGTTTATACCAAAGTGACGCTTCAAGTCAGTCAGGAAAAGATGGGTAATTCAATAAACTGTTGGGACAGCAGTTGCCTTGGTGGTCCTTCCCATGGGCACGACACCAGCACGTGTCCACTAGCCTGATCATTCAGAAAATATTTTAAGTTATATTTTTTCTGTCTGACCTTGTACTGAAATAAATTCCTGATAAAGAAAGAACAAAGAACAAAGTCATTAAATACCAGAAGAAAATATTGGTAAATATATAACGTTGGGCTTGAGATAGACTATAAACACAATCTTAAAGGCAGAAACCATGATGAAAAGATGGATAGATTTGTTTCTATCAAAATTTTTTAAAGTTTGTGTATCTGCATACATAAATTAACGAAGTTGAAAGACAAATGCCAAGCAGGGGAAATGTTTATTACATAAATGACAGAAAATTCTTAAATATATAAATTGCTTTCACAAGACAATAAAATGCAAAGGAGTATTTGATAGAGAAATGGGTTAAGGGCATGGACAGGATATTTGCCAAAGAAGAAATCCAAACAGCATATAAGCATGGAAAAATGTTTACATCGTTGAGGAATCAAAGGAATGCACATTAAAAGGACAGTGAGAAATCTTTCATCCTATCAAAGTTTAAAATATTTAAAGTCATTTTAATCTTGCATTTCAAGAGGGTTGCTTATCAGAGTGTTGACAGTGATTAATTATCTGTGGGTAGTGGGTTAAGGGTATTTTTCTCTTTTTTGTTTTATTTTTCTTGGCATTAATAGTTTATTTTGGCAATAAAGGAGTAATAGTTTGTGCTGACTCTTAGAAAAGCGCTCAACTGAAATCCCTGGAGAATTCATCTCTGGGGAAAGAGCAAAGGATGTGTCAAAGTGATAGGCTTCCTCTCGGGCCTGGCTTGCAGTCGCGGACCCATATTGCATCATCTTGGCCCCCAACTTCAGGACGTGGGGCCAGGTGGCTGCTTTTTAGACAAGAGGCATGAGACCAAGGCTGGGAGACCACTCAGCAAGCTAGAGCCTAAAAATCCAGGTGGCAATTGATGAAAATAACACACTAGAACTTGGTGTGACTACTCTCTTCAAGCCAAAAAAAAAGGAAAAAAATTAAAGGCATGCCTATTCATGTTCTGTGGGAAGAAAGGCTGGGTTGCCAGAAGAAGTAAAGTCAGTCAAGCCTGTGGATGAAGAAAATGCTGAGCTAGTTTTTGTTGAAGTAGAAGATGCTGCAGTTGTCTGTACTGGGGTCATTTCAGATTCAGAACTGGTCTGTTCCAAGATTTGGAACAATCAGGCCTGGCACATGTTCAAGGAAAATGAAAGTTCCCTTCAATCAAGGTACCACCCGTTCACTGCAGCCTACCAAATGTATGACCCTTATCAAATCCCGTGGCCACCTTGCCTGGCTCTCAACCTGAATCGAGATCAGCAGAGTTGTCTGTTGAGTTACTGTCTGCACCTGGTTTTAAAACAAGCTGAACCTCACAATTCTTCAGAGTTACCCTCCCTTTTAACTTAGGATTCAGTTTCTGGTACTTCCTCTGGGAGGTGTAATCGAAAGTCTTTCTGTATCTAGGCAGCTTCTACCTCTGGAGAAAACTGAGTTACCTTGGATGGGATTCCCTGGAAACAGACTTTGAGATAAGTCTCTGTGCAGGGTTGTTGGGGTGCGGTGGAGGGGTCCTCAGGGACAACACCCATAAGTAAGGGACAGAGGATTGGGCAGAGGGAGAAGTGGTGCTTCTCAGCCAATCTTATGGGGAGCTCTAGAGCTGGGGTGGCCTTGCAGGGTTGTCCTCAATTTAGGCACAGAAACCAGGCCTTTGTGTCTCCTGAATTAATCAGTCACTGGATGCATGCTGTTCCTGGGGAGAAGGCATATTCTTGGATGAGGCAGGTTATATCAGTCTCAGCCAAGGGAAGTCTCCAGGGAGGAAGGCAGCTGAATTGACCTAGCAGACTGTTGAAGAAGAAAACAAGGTCCCGAGAGAAGTGGGTTTGCTGGAAGGATTTCTTGTGGAGCCAGAAGACCAGACAGAGGGTTATGCTCCACAGGAGGCCCAAGGGACAGACCATACACAATGGCAATGGGAAATGCACTAGTGAGAGAAGTACCAGCATCACTGAGAAGTTCAGAGGGGGCTCTCTTCTGCAGACCAGAGATGATGGGAAGAGAAGCAATCACAGGGCTGGGGTTGGTAATAATACCAGTTGGTAATGACAGCATCCTGGAGCCATAGAAGCCAGGTGGTGGCTTTAACCACCAGAAGCCTGGGGGCTATAATTACTAGAATAGCTGGCAAGTTAAGAGAGTCTGCACAGGGAACCTGATCCTCAGGGGCTGTAAAGGTATTTAATAGTACAAGGTGTCCCTAGGGGAAAAATAGATGGGCAGCCAGCAGGGTGCTGCTTAATATCTAGAAACAGGAGTCTGAGGGTGGTTGCCCTAATAAAAAAGTCATGCTTCTTGCTCAATTCTCAGATTCTGAGTCAATCTTCAGACCAAGACAACAGAACCCATCGACTGAAGAGGTGGGTGGGTCCTTAGGAGGGACCCTGCAACCCTGAAACAAATATTTACCACAATGATTACTCTATGGCCTGTGAACCTTTTCACAGCTAACTCTATGTTGGGGAAAGAGAAACACCCAGAAATTTAGCAGGGTCTGAAAAGATCTTGTTACCCAGAAACCCAGAGTGTTATCATGGTCCCTCTGTAAGAGTGGGGACTTAATAGTGGTAAGCAGAGTCCTGGATAATATCCAGCTTACAATGAGTCCATGGGAGCATAGACCTATCCACTGGTCTTTCCTCAGTCCCTGAGTGCATCATTGGGACTGTATATTGAGAACAAGCTCCACATTAGGTCCTTGGCCTTGAGTTCTCATGGTGGGGAAGACCAACTGAAAGCCACTAAAAATGTCCCTTCCCTACCAAGGTGAGATAATAAATCAAAACCAATATTTCATCCAAGGGGATAGGATGATGATGGTAGAGATTAATGCCACCATTAAAGACTTAAATGATACAGAGTAGTTGTCCCTGTCATTTCTCCCTTTAATTTGCCAGTCTGGCTGCTTCAGAAACCAGGAGAACAGTTTATAGACTGTGGATTTAACCATGTAGTGGGCCTGATGATAGTCATTGTACCATCTTGGTGATCTGTCATAACACAGTCCAGAAGGATCTGGATCACCTGGACATCCCAGAGAACCCCACCCTATCTGTTATAATGATAGCAGCATGCTCATCAGGCATGCTGAGCCGGAGATAGCTAGTACATTCCAACACTTGGTAAGACACATGCACTTCAGATAAGCCCATGAAGATTCAGGGACCAGCCACTTCAGTTTTTAGGGAACCAGTGGTCAGGGATCTGCCAGGATAGTTCCTTCAAAGTAAAAGGCAAATTAGAAAACACAAATAAGCAAGGCAAAAGAAACTATTGCTTATAATCTTGTAAAAGCTTATAATCCTCTAAAATTGTTTCTAGCGTTTACATCTTTTAAGATGTTTTTCATCGTGCGTAGAATATAAATCTAACAAGCTATATAGAATCATACCACTATCTTGAGACCGTGTTTATTTACTTGTTTGCTTGCTTACTGCCTAGATTTCCTCACTGTGATACAAGCTCCGTGAAAGTCATGTCTTTATTTTTTTTTTTAACATTTTATTTATTTATTTGACAGAGAGAGACACAGCGAGAGAGAAAGCACAAGCAGGGAGAGTGGGAGAGGGAGAAGCAGGCTTCCCGCCGAGCAGGGAGCCCGATGTGGGGCTGGATCCCAGGACCCTGGGGTCATGACCTGAGCTGAAGGCAGACGCCTAACCGACTGAGCCACCCGGGCGCCCCCGTGAAAGTCATGTCTTTATCTTATTGACTGCTGTATCCCTGGCACCTAGATGCACTTGGTTTTGGATAAGTATTTTTTGGTGCCATAAACGATACGTACTAGATACATTGCTTTGTAGCTATTTTCAACTAACTTCCAGATGCTTCGGGTTTTACTTCATTTTTCTTAAAATGTGCCATTCCAGAAGTCATGTGAAAGCAGAGAATTCTCTCACTCCAAAGACTACTTCTATCAGTGCAACTTCAAAAGCAAGAAACCTTAGTCCTTTGGCAGCCCTCGAGTCTCTTTCCCTTTGGCCAGCACTGCCTTAGACTCTTGAGCCGTCACAGCCTTGCCTGGATCATTCTTCAGAGGTCCCAAATCAGGTTCCAAGGACGTAAGTGAAGACGGGCCAGGAAGAGTCCAGCCCGGAGCCACGGCCCTCCTCCGGCCACGCGGGGGCGTGAGAGCGCTACCGTGCTCTCCCGGTCAGCTGCCCGCGGGGAGGACGATTCCGGGCGGGTGTGGCGACTGCCCGCTGTGGGCGGAGCGAAAGGCGCCCGGGCCCGGACACAGGGCAGGAAGTGAGGAGGCGGGGCTTCTGCGATGGGGTGTGCGCTTGCGCAAAAGTCCGGCCGGAGGTGTGGTCTACGTTTTCGCCACTGCTAGGGTCTGTCCTTTTGGGGACGCCTTTGCTCTTCTTTTACGAGTTGGGCCGGGCCCAGGGGCGGGGGCAGAGTGCGGGAGTTGGGGTGAGAGGACTTCGCGGGGCGCCGGGATGCGGGGCGGGGCTCGCGAGCACTGCGGGGCAGGTTGGGGTGGCGCAGCCTTGGGGGGGCAGGGACGAAGGGGCGTCGGGGGGGGGGGGGGGGGGGCCGGCGTCTGCGGTCTGGGGAGAGGGGCGGGTGGAAAAGGGGTACGGGAGAGTCAAGCCTCAGCCCTCCCTCCCCTCCCGGCGTGAAGTGCAGGGACCCCAGGGGCCCCTGCCCCCCGGGGAGGTGCTAGTTGGCATGTGGATGTGGTTTCCGGGTTCCCTGGTTCCCTGCCTCTCCCCTCAGCCTTTCCTTCTCTTTAGCGGCTCCTTTTTTTTAAGTAGTGTAATTAACGCAGCATGGTGTGCCTCACATCGACACCTTCACCTGTGAAAAACCGCCTCTTGCCGCTTAAAGCAACTCGAGAGGCAGTCCCTCTCTTACCTCCTCACTCTCAAAGTAGAGAACATAAAAGTTTCCTACCTAAACCCTGCCATGAAGAACTGAACATTTCCTTTCTAAACAGTGCTCGGGAGTTGTGATAATTTCTTCATAAACTTGTCTACAAATAGCACTTTTTATACTCTTTAAATAATGTCACTTGCCTGTGTAAAGCGGAGCAACAGTTTTATTGTGCCGTGCAGTCCTCAATGAAAAATTTTAGTCCGGGGCGATGAAAATAGCTCATTTGGAATTCAGGGATTGATCAACTATCGTGACTCCAACCAGTGCTTGTGTAACCCTCACGAAAATGATGTAGGTTTATATCCATCATCTCAGCCGTGGCGAAGAAGTGCAGGCTGACATTTGGAACCTTAAGAACCAAGTCTGTTGCCTTCCAATTTATTTTATTTTATTTTTTAAGTCTTCTATCATGGATGTACTTTGCTTGAATGATTATTTTAAAGTACACGTTCTATTTTTGCCAATCTGACAGCTGTTTCCATAGAAACTAGAGAAGAAATAGTCATTTTCAGCAGAGTTGTTAAAACTGTCTTCCAGGCTTCAGCCGTGAGTGCCAGTGAGTGCTGTACTTGCTCATTCTGAGATGGTACTTAAAGAATTAAGGATCTGAAATATTCTTAGAGGCTAACAATCCAAATTGTTTAATTTTCTCACATCATTAGTTTAGTAATCTTAGAAGTTTGCCAGCTGTTTGTTGACCTGCTACAGTTCTTCGAAGAGGCTGTGTCCTGATTCTTTCTTAGGCTCTGTGTAGTCTAGTGTTGGCTCTTTGGAAATGTATAAATAGATTTCTTCACCAGTTCTTTACCCTTTCTTAAGGATAAACCAGGGATTGTAAAATTTCAGGCACTGTTTCTGTTCTAAATGACACTTGATTGGCAGTGGCACAAATGATAACGTTTTTAGTTATGTTCGTGTAATGTTTGGGGCTTTTGCTTATACCTTCTGTGTCAGAATATTTTTTAAAGATTTCACGTAAGTCATGAGAAATGAGCAAGAGTTTGCTTGCCGTAATCACAGAGCTAAGCAGTGTAATAGATGTGCATGGAAATAGAGGTGAGAGCTTTTCTGAAGGTTATCGGAAAGTCAGTGGGTCTGGAGCTTGGGAATGGGTGAAGGAGAGCTGGGGGAAGGTGCCTGGAGAAATAGTGGGAGGTGGCATTGTGAGAGGCCTGGTCTATATGGAGGAGTTTATGGAAGCCCATGGAAACCATTGGAAATTACAAAAATAGTTGCCTTTATAGGTTTTGGGGCTTACAAGAGTAATAATACATCCTGTAAAAATTTAAACAGCACAAAAATACATGAGATGAAAATACTAAATCCTTTACATCCACCATTCTGCCACTCAAAATAACCATAATGAATAGTTTGCTACGTTTTGGTTTAGATTAATTTATATTTATATATGCTAGCATATTTCAGCATTACTATTTTTGCAAATTGGGCAGAGATTTTTGTCTGCTTTATTTTCTGTGGTATCTCCAGAATCCAGAGTGGTATGTGGTATGGCATGTAGGGGGCACTTATTAAGTATTTAATGAATGAATAACATCATTCAGAGATAAGAAACTGAATGGGGTTTTGTGTAGGTTTGTTTGGCCAAGGTGGTTAAGAAGTTTTTTGTGTTTTTTTTTTTTAAATTTGTGGCCAGCATTTTAAAACTGATAACTTCCACTTAAAGTTTGAATTTTGTCTTTTCTTGAAAATATTGAACTGTGGTAACACTAAGCTCAGGTTCCATTACACTTGTTGCACCTTCTTTAGATGGACATGAATCTGCATTTACACCGGTATGGCTTTGCCTGGACCCCACCAACTTGCACTGTTGAATACAGTAGCCACTAGTCACCTATGGCCATTTTGTTTCAAATTAACTAAAATTAAGTTCATTAAGAATTCTATTCCTCAGTCACACCAGCCACATTTCAGGTGCTTAGTAGCCATAGGTAGGAGCTAGCATATTGGACAACGCAGACACATTTCCATCATCACAGAAATTTCTGTTTTGCAGCGCTGGTTTACACATCTGAGTTTGCCATTCCTGATCTACCGAATTTTTGCAGGTAGCATTTGTTATTTTTAAGATTTGTGTGTCTCTTTGTCATTACACAAATCTCTGTTTTTTAAAATGGCTGCATAGTATTTAGCGATGTAGGACTTTATGAGAGTTGTAGTAGGATTCTCTTGTCTGATCTGCATTTTAGAAAGATTGCTTTAGTTTAGTTTGTTGGGGGTGGGAATGAACTGTAGGGGTAGGAGTTGGTGGTTTAATAGGCGGAGAGATTGGAGGGTATATAGTAATCAACAACCTAAGGCCACGGAGCCCAGGAAAGGCTAGATTGAGATATTAAGGAGGCAGAATTGACGTGTAAAGTCACTGCAGAGATTATCCAGAACTGATTATCTGGAACTGATTCAGTGTTGAGAATTGGGAATTTGGTTTGCAAAGTCTAGAAGGAACCCTTAGCTAATTCTAATAAGCATCACGTGGTAAGCATCACGTGTAATATTAAAATGTTATCAGCTTGTATATGAAAGGTGTAACTGTTTTATACCATGTAACTTAAGTCAGAGATCATTTATTTACAAGATGCAGAAACCCTCTGAAGAGAGGGAATTGTTACAGGAAGAAAGTAAAGCTCATGAAGCTCAGTTACATTTAGGAAGGACAGTAGACTCTTGGGAACCAGGAGGGTATGAATCTTGCCCCCTCTCTTTCTCTCCCTGAGGCTTCATGATCTTTTACTTTCCACACATTGATTCCATTGTCCTTTCTGTTGATCCACTTCTTTTGCAAAGGTTTTTGTTTGTAGTACTTGCTTGCATATTGCTTTGTGTTGCCATAGCACCAACTATAACTCCAATTTATACATGCCCTTATTCTTTTGCGTGATACTGCCTCACCAAAAGTCTTTTCTGTGTCAGATTCCCACTGCTAGCTCTGTGGCCAGTGACAGGGGTCACTGGGAAAGATTGACAGTCTGGGCCTGTCCCTTAAGTTGAGGCTGTAGGATGCCCTTATAAAGGGAGTGTGATCGGGCTGAGTGTCTGAAGCTTATCTCTTATAGTAAAGGATCTAAGAATGTAGGTTTGTGTTGTTTTTGCAGTTTGACTTCTAGCAAATGACTTTCTATTTTTAAACCTTAAGTGTACTTTCTCATTCGAAACAATTATTTTCTGCATCTGCCCCAATGGCATAAAAAATAATAGTTGCCTTGAACTCTTCTGCTACTCATGGATTTCCTTTCTTTTTTAAAAATTCATATAGTGCATATTATGCAGCCATCAAAAGGAATGAGATCTTGCCATTTGCAACGACGTGGATGGAACTGGAGGGTGTTATGCTGTGTGAAATAAGTCAATCAGAGAAAGACATGTATCATATGACCTCACTGATATGAGGAATTCTTAAGCTCAGGAAACAAACTGAGGGTTGCTGGAGTGGTTGGGGGTGGGAGGGAGGGGGTGGCTGGGTGATAGACATGGGGGAGGGTATGTGCTATAGTGAGTGCTGTGAATTGTGCAAGACTGTTGAATCACAGATCTGTACCTCTGAAACAAATAATGCAATATATGTTTAAAAAAAAAAAAGATAGGGGAAGAATGAAGGGGGGGAAATCGGAGGGGGAGACAAACCATGAGAGGTGATGGACTCTGAAAAGCAAACAGGGTTCTAGAGGGGAGGGGGGTGGGGGGATGGGTTAGCCTGGTGATGGGTATTAAAGAGGGCACGTTCTGCGTGGAGCACTGGATATTATGCACAAACAATCATGGAACACTACATCAAAAACTAATGATGTAATGTATGGTGATTAACATAACAATAAAAATTTAAAGTGAAAAAAATTCATATAGTGCATAACACTTAATGAGGAACTGTATTCTATTATCCCTTAATAGTCTTACTTAGATACATTTCCCCCCTTAACTTGGTAATATCTATGAGGGCAGGGACTGGATTTTATGCTGCATCTGTAACTCTCAAGCCACCAGTTATTTTACTACACTCAGCTTGGTTCAAAAAAGCCCCCAAAACCTAAAAGTATCTTGTTAATAACATCAGATTATTATGTATCAAGTCTGGACTCTGATTTAAAATGGATAGTAATTCCAAAAGGTTAACTTGGAGTAAATGTTTACTTAGCATGCCCTTTATTTATAACATTATATATAAGGTTAACATATATTAATATATGTTAATGATGCAAGGATAGAATATATGAAGTCTATAAAAATTTTGAGTGACTTTCAAATAGTTTGGTAATACGGTTCATTAAAACTGATGTTCTTTTTTAAATTTGATTTAATTTTTTAAATTTTATTTTTAAAACTGATGTTCTGAAGCATCTTTCTAGATAGTATTGTATTAGTCTAGTTTGAGTTAGATTTATATATTTTCCTCCAACTTTTATTATGAAGATTTTGAAGCAGAAAAATTGAAAAAAAATTTTAATGAACACATATGTAACTATGACTTAGATATGATGGTTAGTGTTTTACTGCATTGGCTTTATGTGTGTGTGTGTGTGTGTGTGTGTGTGTATTCAATTTGAAAGTGAGTTTTATTCATCATAAAGAGATACTTGAGCAAGTACTCAGGTATAAGATATTCCCCTACATAACCACATCATTGTCATCTAATAAGCAGTACATACCTAAAATAACCTGAAAGCAAATCCATATGCAGATTCCCCCAAGAGTCCCAGTTGTCTTCTGAAGCTATTTTTTTTTTCAAACTAAGATCTAATCAGAGTTCACACATTGCATTTTATTGTCTCTTTTTAGTATCTTTTGAAAAATAGCTTAATTGATGTATAATTGATATAAATTGTACCTATTTAAGCTGTATAGTATACAGCTTAGAATTATTATAAGTTTTGACATGTGTACATCTATGAAACTAACACCACAATCAAAATAGTGAACGTATTCATTACCTCCAAAACTTTATAATCCCTTTCCTGATCTTTACCTTCCCATCCTCAGGCAACCATTGATCTCTCTGTAACTATAAATTATTTTGCATTTTCTACAGTTTATATTATAGAGCTGGAATCCTAGAGTATGAACTTTTTTGGAGGGAGTAGTGTCTGGCTTCTATCACTTGATAGTAATTAGAGATAAAATTGCTTTTGTATATTGCTTTTGTATCCTGCCCCCTAACTAACTGTGATATGTTTGGGTTTTTTAAATAGATGATCATGTTATGTAGGCATAAAGACCATTTAGCTTCTGTGTTTCTTGTCTGGATGCCATTTATTTAGTTAGGCATTTATTCATTCTATTGTGTTGACTAGGATCTCCAGTACAGTATTGAATTTAAGTGGTGAGAGCGAGCATCCTTGCCTCAGTCCTGATCTTAGGAGGAAAGTATAGGCTTTCACCTATAAATATGCTGTTGGTTATAGTTTTCTATAGATGTCCTAGTTTACTGAGTTTTTTTTTTAAAGATTTTATTTATTTATTTGACAGAGACAGAGACAGTGAGAGCAGGAACACAGGCAGGGGGAGTGGGAGAGGGAGAGCAGGCTTCCTGCCGAGGAGGGAGCCTGATGTGGGACTCGATCCCAGGACCCTGGGATCATGACCTGAGCCTAAGGCAGATACTTAATGACTGAGCCACCCAGGCGCCCTACTGAGGGTTTTTTTTTTATCAGGGTTGGATGTGGGATTTTATCAAATGCTTTTTCTGTATCAGGATGATCATGTGGTGTTTCTTTTTCAATAAATAGGGTGGATTACATTGATTTATGAATTTTTACTCAACCTTACATTCCTGGGACACATCTCAGCTGGTCATGATGTAGTCTTTTTATATATTGTTGAATTCGATTTTCTAAAATATTGTTTTGTATCTATGTTCATGAGAGATATTACTCTATAGTCTTGTTATTTTTTTTTCTGGCTTTAGTATCACAGTAATGCAGATCTTATGGAATAAAATGCAAACTGTTAATTTCTTTTCAGTTTCCTGGAGAATTTGAATAGAATTATTATTAATTCTTCCTTAAATGTTTCATAGACTTGCCCAGTGAAGCTATTTGAGCTGGGAGCTTTCTTTGCGGGAAGGTTTTTAACTGCAAGTTCAATTAAAAAAATAGATATAGGGCTCTTCAGATATATCCATCTCTTTCTGAGGTAGCTTTGGTAGTTTGTGTTTTTCAAGGAATTGGTCCATTTCATCAAAGATGTCAAATTTAAGATTTTCTCTTCCACTAGTTTTAGGAAATTTGATTAGGATATGTCCTGAAATAAGTTTCCTTTGTGTTTACTGTGTGTGTGGCTTTTTAAATTTCTTGGATTTGTGGGATTACAGTTTTCACGAAATTTGGAAAATGGCCATTATTTTTTCAAGTTTTTTTTTTTTTTTTTTTTTTTGGTCTACCAGCCCTCCCCGCTTTTCGGGGACTCCACTTATACATATTTTAGGCCATTTGAGTTATCCTACACCTCTCTGATGCTCTGTGCCTTTTTTTTTCCCTTGGTTTTTTATTTTGGTTTTCTTGGTTTCTATTGATATGTCAGGTTTACAGGTCTTTATTTCATTGTTACAATATCTAATCTGCTGTCATCCAGTGTAATTTTCATCGAAGACTTTGTACTTTTCTTGTTTAGATGTTCAGTATAGGTCTTTTTAAAAAAACATATTCTACGTCTCTACATAACATTCTCAGATTTTAAGTTCTTACACATGGAATATAGTTGTAATAACTATTTTAATATCTATCAATGCTGTCATTCATGTTATTTAGGAGTGAGGTTTTATTAATATTTTTCCTAATTATGGTTCACATATCCTGCCTTTTTGCTGCCTGGTAATTTTTAATTATAAATTATACCTTGCTGAGTGGTGGATAATTTTATATTCTTTTAACTGTTTTGAGCTTTTTTGGAGAATGTGGTTAAGTTCCTTAGAAACAGTTTGATCTTTTTTTTTTTTTTTTTGAGTTTTGCTTTTAATCTTTGTTGGGTAGGGCCAAAGTAGCTTTTAGTCTAGGACTAATTTTTCTCTAATGAGGCAAAACCTTCTGAGTACTCTACCCAATGTCCCATGAATTCAAAGGTTTTCCACTTTGAAGGGTAGATATAGACACTCTACTCTGCCCTCCATGAGCCCTGAATGTTGCTCCTCTAATACTGTCAGGTGATTCTTTCCCATCTCTAGGGACTTCCCTCATGTGAGTGCCCTGTTTAGAACTCATCTGAGTACACCAGACAGATTTCCTTGTGTAACACCTTCTGGAGTTCTTTCTCTGTACAGTTCTGTCTTCTCTTGTACTCTGCTCTGTGGGGTCTAGTTACTGTGGCCTACTTGAGCTCCCGGCTTCATCTCTCCAATTTAGGAACATTGTTGGGCTGTGCTAGGTTTCCCCTCTCTACATAGTGGCCTAGAAACTGTCCAGGCAGGAAGCTGGGGCAATTGTAGGGCTCATCACATTTGTTTTCCATTTCTCATGGGTCACTGGTCTTCATTGCCTAATGTCCAATGTGTTGGAACCATTGTTTCATTTATTCTGTTTTTGTTTTTGTTTTTTTTTTCAGTTTTCAGTGAGAGGATAAGTCTGGTTCCTCTTATTCCATCTTGACCACAATCAGTAGTATGAAGATTATATTTGAACGGATCAGATTTGTATTTTAAAAAATACATTTTGAAACTTAGATTTTACTGTTCCATTACATGCTTTTCCCCTTACTTACTGCCAGTTGCTAAAACCTACTGTTATTTTTGCTTAACCCATTTCTTATTCCCCAATAATTTAGCTGTTAAAATAAAAAGATTTCCCCCAACTAAAACTAAAAAACGAAAAGAAGAAAAAATCCAAGTTTCTAAAGTATGTGTTGTAGAGTTAAAAAAAAAAAAGGAAAAGCTGTTTGGTTTGTATTGTTGAGGGGTGTTGCTGTGGGGGTGGTGGTAGAAACCTAAGGTAATTCAGTCTGAGATATGTCAAGGGAAGAACGATTGACACACCTCTTTCTTAAGTGTTCCCAGTTTTGTAAATAAGTATTTTCCAGAGATATTTATAACTTATTTTTTTGTGTGTTCCAGATAAGGAGAAGAAAGATGAATTTCATCTATGGACTGCAGTCTGCTACTAGAAACTGTGTTTTCTTCCGATTTCATGTGTTGGCCAGCTGGAGAAAATGTAACACACTAGCTGTCACCTCACCAGACTGTCATCAAGTACAAATTAATCATATAGTTAATAAGTATCAGGGTCCGGGAGTAAATCAGTGTGATAGGTTGACTTTTCTTCCTGAAAATTTTTATTTCTGTAAGACTTTTAGTAAAAAAAGACCAGGATGCCTCTTGAGCACGAGATATAAGGAAATTGGGATGGTTACCCCAAAATGTTCTGTGTGGAATGACTCTTTTTCAAGACAGCTACTGATAAAAGAAGTTACAGGAGTTCCTGCCCTTTCACTATTGCATCCTCTAAACTGTCTTCATGAAAGAGACATCAGGAGTTTCCACACTTCTCCTCGGTTTCAAGCTGCTCCGGTTCCTCTTTTGTTGATAATTCTTAAACCAGTGCAGAAACTATTTGCAATCATTGTAGGCAGGTAAAAAGCTTTAAAAAAAAAAATAAACTTTTATATTCAAAGGTATTTATAAAATTATACTTTTAATGAAAACTTGTTAGATTTCCCACCCATATTTGCTCAAAATTAAGTTTCTAAACAGTTGGGTCTACCCAGTTTTGTTAATGATTTAGTAATCTTGAGATGATTTACTGCATATTTTTTAAGATTTTATTTATTTACTTATTGAGAGACACACACACACACACACACACACACACAACTAGTGCAGGGGGAGGGGCAGAGGGAAAGGGAGAGAATCCTAAGTACACTCCATACTGAGCACGGAGCCTGAGATCTGTGAGCCTCACAATCCTGAGATCATGACCTGAGCCGAAATCAAGAGTTGAATCATTAACCAACTGAGCCACTCAGGTGCCCCAATTTACTGCATATTATAGTATAAAAATATGATCTTTAAAAAATTATATAGATACTTTCTTAAAAGATCTTATGTTTATGATTGCAGGAATGAGAAATGTTGGTCATAGTTTGTGTGTAAGAGCAGTACTTACAAACATATGTGTTTAGTTACGGAATCTGAGGCAATGGGTCATGAAACTGAAGAACTTTACTTATTTAAGAATGGGCTCATTCCTAGCCAAGTTAATGCTTAACTAGTATTTATTAATTATTCTATTTCCAACACATCTTTGTTATTTTCTCTTGAGTAGTCCATCATAATATGTTTTTATAGCTAAATAGTACCTTATATTTAATTTAAACCTCTCCCCATAAATAATCTTGTTTTCTCTTATTTGCTCCATTTATTGAAGAAAGGTAAAGTTAGGCATTGTCTCCTCATAAAGCTTTCTTACCTTTGATGACTGTGAAGGCCCTTCTAGCCCTCCGACTCCCATACTAACCAAACCGATTTTCTTTCTATCAGAAGTTGAGAACTTGTACTTTCTAATGTATTGTGTTCCTTATGACTTGACATTGGCACCCAGAAAAAAATACAGCTGTGTTAACTCTTGATGTAAGAAATGGCTGTCAGAGAAAACCAGAGCTAGACAACAGTTAAAGCATTAAATACAGATTTTATGCAGGACTTTTGCAGTAGGGGAAGAGAGACCTAAATATAGAACCAGAGTTAATTTTGAATACAGCACGGGCAAGTGGGAATTTATAGCCAAGGAGCAGGGTGAGGTTTGGTGGATGGAAAATTACTAAGAGGAAACATTAGGAGTAAGGGGGGGGATTCTCCCTAACCTGACCCTACTAGGCTTCTTGCTGAAGGCAGGTGAGGGTGGTCAGATATCATTTGGGGGCTGGTGAATGATGAGGAATCTGATCAGATACTGAGGGTGATCAGATATGGAGGATGGGGGATTTTGGGTAAACTGATTTAGCAGGATTCTTGCTGAAACTGGACAACAAAGAGAAATACAGAAGTCTAAAGGTGAGGCCTAGTTGAAAAAAGCCTGAGCAGAGTCTGGTGGAAGAGAGAGAATCTTTGTCACAGCTCAGCCCAAGTTCTTAGGCCAATGGCTCTTTTTCATACTTTTTAATAATTATTTTTACCTTTTTGTTTTTGTTACTATTTTAACAACATTTTCTTTCATGTTTTCATACTTTTAAGCAAAGAATAATAAGTCATATAAAGTTTTAAATAGGAAATAAATCTGGCCTAAGTTTCTTCAGGTTGAAACACTTTGAGGCATTTTAGGTGTGTCACTTAATAAAATTAAGATAAATTGAAGTTATTTTATAAGATGAATTGTGTCAAGAGAATGATGTATATATCTTAAATTTTTGTTGTGATTTCACAGATGAACTTATGAGGAAAAATTTTGTCCTAGTGTTGAAAACATTGCTTCTCAAAATGTCTGTGAACCCCAATAACCAGCAGAGTATTGTTGCCTGGTAGAAAGTAGACCTCCTCATTTGTTAACCATACAGTCTCTCATTTCCTTATTTACAGTGTTTATGTTCTTATTACCTCTCCTTTGTCATGTTCTTGAGGGGATAGTGGACTTTTTGCTGGTGAGCAAAATTTACTTCTAAAATCAACGCTGAGGTAGTTACCTTTGTACCTTGCTAAAGTCCTGGCAGATTGTGCCAGAAGTCTGATGAGCAGTGGGGAGGATCGTGGTTAAAGGTATAGACTGTTGTACTGTAATCCCCTCAGATGTTTACTGGGCCAGTTTATCCCTACTAAGTGGTTGAGTGCTCACACTCTGGGATCACACTTTCTTCCTTGCCTGGTTTTCCCTTATCACTTCTGCAACCTTGGGCAAGTTGCTTCACTTCTCTTTGTCTCAGTTTTCTCTTCTGTAATGGGGTTATTGTGAAGGTTAAATGAGATGACATGTATAACAATTTGAATAGTAGTTTGCATGTGGTAAACAGTCAATAAATGTTAATGGAAGTTGTGTAAAATAGCTACTCATTTAGTGTTCACCTTTAAAATAACTGAAGAAAATTTAAATGAACATTAGAATTTTTAACTATAGTTCTGTATAATTGATTACTTTTTCATTTTAGCTAAGAATTTTATAATTGAAAAAATTCATCTATACAGAGAAATATATCACAAAAATTGCAGTGTTTGATGACATAAAATCCTAGCATGAGATTAAGTTTTGGTGATATGTGCTGATACTATTGTCAGAACTTTGAATTTTCTTTTTGCTCTAGGGGCATAAGGAAATGGTGGCAGGCACTTCCTCCTAACAAGAAGGAACTATTTAAAGAAAGTTTAAGAAAGAATAAATGGAAGTTACTCCTTTGTTTCAGTAGTTTTGGATTGCTCTTTGTAGTATTTTATTTTACTCACCTGGAAGTGAGTCCTGTCACAGGAAGGAGCAAGCTACTATTATTGGGGAAAGAACATTTCAGACTTTTATCAGAACTGGAATATGAAGCAGTAAGTAGTAAGAATTGTTTATAATTAGATTGCTTAATATAATACTCAAAGCAGGAGAGTTTCTTAAGTATGAAAGATGCACTACTTTTTTATGTTAGTCTTTGATAGAAAATTAACATTTTCCCAAAAGGCCTCAAACTTTTCATACTTAGTATTCCTCCTGCCTACGTTGCTTTTCTTCTCATTCACCCAGCTAACTCCTGCTCATCACATGTCACCTTAAATGTTACTTTCTCAGGAAAGCCTTCCTTGATTATCCAGGCTGGGTTAGGTAGGTTGGCTATATTAGGCTCTAGGGGGTATCCTTCATACAGACTAAATTATGAATGAGCTCATTTGTATTTGTGTCCAGTGCTTGGCTCTACTGGGGTCAGGTCTCCTACTTTTATTTTGTCTTTGCATACTGTTTTCTTTCTTTAAATCACTTATCATGAGGGTAACATAATTATTTGCGTAATTATTTATTTGCTGATCTGTCTCCTTTGTTAGCCTAAGCTCTGTGGGAACACAGACCCTGTTTTATCATTTTATCTTAAGTACTAGCACAATGTACAAAGTGGTGCTTAGTATATATTTTTTTGGATAAGTAGGTATGTAATAGAATTTTGTACCTTGAAAGTAATGTAGAATAGGATTTTTTTTCTAAAACATCATTTTTGACAATTTATTATATTTTTTGAATGCAAAATAAAGTTGGAGTTCAGAAACCTTAACTCCTTAGCAAGTACAAGGTAAGTTAAGCATTTTATCCCACTAGCATGTTTCTTGAGGACAGATTCTCTTTTTCCAGTTCTTAGCACACACATAGTATATGCTGTTAGTATTTGTTGATTTAAAGTCTCATAGTCTCACTTGACAGTTTTGGCATGGCTAAATCTTTATACCTTTTTAGTTCAGTTAAGATTCTGAGTTTGTTGGTGGAAAGTTACCATTAAAAAAGAAATAATGTTTTTTCACTAAAAATGTTGTTCCTAGTAAAGATAAGATACATCTCTTCTAGTAGAATTTATACAGAGCTTGGAGGTGTTTTTTAGGATAGTCTTGTCTGAAGCAAGTTTGAGGAAAATGTTCTGGAAAGATTGAGGCAGGCCTAGGGTTAAATTGTTATTGCTTTTACCGTTCATATCATTTAGAAGTTTTGAAAGATTATATATATCTTTGTATATATTTTTATTTTTTAACCTACAAATGTAATAACCTGCTTGATTCAAAATTTCAAGCATATGTTCTTTTTTTTTTTTAAAGATTTTATTTATTTATTTGAGAGAGAGAGAGAATGAGAGATAGAGAGCATGAGAGGGAAGAGGGTCAGAGGGAGAAGCAGACTCCCCGCTGAGCAGGGAGCCCGATGTGGGACTCGATCCCGGGACTCCAGGATCATGACCTGAGCCGAAGGCAGTCGCTTAACCAACTGAGCCACCCAGGCGCCCTCAAGCATATGTTCTTATAGAGATATTATAAAGTGCTATTATTATATATAATTTTACTTGTTTCGTCTACTTCAGAAGGGTTAATATAATAATGTTTTTTGTTGTTTCAGTTTACATTGGTGACGTGCTTTTTAAAAATGCTGTTGATTTTAAAGACTATTTCAGATTCCAATTCTATAAAAACATCTCAGGGAAGGTTATAAACTTCTTGATCCATATGTGAAAGGAGTTATACCTTTTATGGAAATTAAAGTAATATTTTCAGAACATTTTTAATTTTCCTACATTTGGAAGGGTTTCTCATGAACATAGCTCCAGAAAAGTGTCTTCATATGGTGGCTAGTCTTACTCAACATAGTGTAGAGAAAATGACATGCCCACTAGTTCTAAAATTTCAGTAATTTCCTTTGATTCTGTGTGAATAAAACTTTAAAATTAATGAAGTATCCTTTTTTGGTAGAAGTTTTTTTTTATTTAATTAAGTATAGGGTGTTTTTTCAGTGTGTTATGAGAGTAATTTTGTATTGTATTTCTGTATGTGAAATCTTTGTTCCCTAGGCAATGTTTTGTTTTCCAAAATATTTAGGAAAGTAGAAATCATATTTAAGTGTTTTATTTGTTTATAGGCTAATAGAAAAGATGAAAGTTTTATTTCAACCAATTTATATGAAAAATCTTAGTTATTAGAATTCATTCCATTTGTGAGAAACCACATTGCCTTTGCATGAATAATTCAAATTTAAGGATTTGAGTGTTTAGTATATGTAGATTTTTACATAATTAAAAATTAAAATGTTCCACAGTAAGTAGTCATATAATTTTTCATGAAGCAATATAAACATTTTGTAGAGCTACAACTCTTTTAAAATAAAGATGACTTAAAAAAAAATAAAGATGACTTTTTAATCTTTCAGTGGATGGAGGAATTTAAAAATGATATGCTCACTGAGAAGGATGGCCGATACCTAATGGTTAAAGAGGTGGTTAATCATTTGATTGAATGCAATAAAGATATCCCAGGGATCTCTGAGATCAATTGGATTATTCATGTGGTTGATTCTCCAGATGTAAATGCCTTCGTGCTTCCAGTAAGTGGAAGTTCTCACACCTATGTTTAATTGTTCAATTTAATGTCCTTGTTTTTTTAAGGTGTTTCACTTACATTATTTTCTTTATGGTGCAGAATGGACAAGTGTTTATCTTCACTGGGCTTTTAAATAGTGTAACTGATAGCCATCAACTTTCCTTCCTTCTGGGCCATGAAATAGCACACGCAGTACTTGGGCATGCTGTAAGTACCTAGAATGAATGTTCAGTTCTTGGAATACTGCTTTGAAGTTAGCAAGTTAAATCTTTTAAAACCGAATCTTTTCAGTTTTCTTTTTCCTTAAAAGATGGAATTTTAAATAATTGACTTATTCTGTTGCTTGAAAAAATATGATTGGTTGTGAGAATTTTTATGGTCTTTAGTATTTGATACCTGAATAATTAGTATTTCTCTTAAATACTGTTGTTATCACCTGTCTCTTTTGCTAAAAAGTAATTATTCTCAACCTCTAATTATTTCAAATTAGATTTTAAACTTTCCATAATTACTAACACTCTTGTAATCTGTTCAGAAAATTAACTATATGAAAGTGATATTACTATTTAAGTAAGTAAATCAGTTTTCTTGCTTTTTTATTCATTCTCAGAGGATGGCTTGGAGCATCTCTGAAAATCTGTGGAATGATATGCCGTATATAATTAATGCAGAGTAATAATAATGATAGTTTGCCATTTTACAGTTTGCTAAGCTTTTAAATACATAGCTTCTCAATCATATTTTTAATACCATCCTCATTAAATAATTACTCTTAAGTAACATGAGTAATGTGGCCAACTGGCAAATTGGGACTTTAACAAAGTTCTTGTGTTTGCAAATCCAACACTGCTTCCTTTTACCAGTTACCTGATTATTGGCAGCACTTTTTTATAATGGATCATAGAATTCAGGTTGATTTATATTCCTGTGAATACACATCTGTTTGACTTGGTATGAATCCAAAAAACTAATGTATTTGTTTACTCATATATTTATTTTTATTCATTAAAAATAAGTATGTCTGTTTTGTCCACATTAGAGAGATGTATATTTCCTAATTGAAAAAATGAAGGTAAATAGTGAAAGGATCGTGAAATGCTATGTTGGAAATGCAAGTAATACTAATTTTAAATGGAAATGATAATGTTATTAATCTCTCTAAAAGTCATCTCAAATTCTGTCTATTCCTTAAAGTATTAATAAATTGAGGTGGGCCACAGTTGTGCTTTTCTGAAGCACAAATAGTAATTATCTCCTTCATTTCTTCTGAGTTACAGAAAAATATAAAAAACATTTTCCTTGAACAGATATATACAAAAATAAATCTAAGCAACCGAAATAGATTGTCTTTCAAGAGAGGGCTTCATAACTGCAAAATCAATCAATTTTGGTCATTTTTAGCATTTAAGAGGTTCATATTCTGTGCCTTTACTTTTCTGGCCTTTAGTTCAGTGCCTCATTCAGCATATTGTTGTCATCTCTGTCAGCACAGGAATGCTAATTAGATATAAAAAGAAAATAGTCTTAAAAGTTGAAAATAGTTATTAATATTTTTTTGTAGAGGTCTTATACATTATCAGTACCGTATTTTCTCTTTTAGCAGTCTCCATTTTGATTTGATGTAGCTTTTAATGTTGTTTTCTTTGTTCCACAAATACATATTTAAAAATTTTTTTTAGTTTTCTAAAACTCTGTAAGCAATTTTATTCCTTAATAAATAATAACAAGGTTTTTCTCTTCAGTAATGACTTTATCATTTGTAGTTATATTCTTTTGTGCTAAAATAATTCCATAATTGTTTTTCATGACACACAGTTCGTATAATAAAGCAATGCTTTGTGAGGGCAGATTATATCATTAAGAGAAGTGTTCTATGTGATTATTTTTAGTTGTCAGCCAAGTTTCATACGTTCAGGTAATGATTCCTACACTGTCAGTGTCAGCATTACATTAACATTTATTAATCAGCTTTAGTAGGGAACAATGAACAATCCAGTGTGTTAAACTTGTATTTAGAAATTACCACTCAAAACAACTATTTTAAGTAAAATTGGTTACTGCTATAAATAAATATAAAAACTTCATAGAACTTGATTTCCTAGTGAGAAGTACCAGAGTGATAAAATTGCAAACTTACATAAATGAATCATACTTTATATGTTAGGTCATAAAGTCCAAAAGACTTTTATTTCAAATAAATTTCTAATCTTTTTCTGAATTTTCCGTGTTTTAACTCTTTCATATGTTCGGTAGTATTTAGTCTGTTCAAAGGTATAAGCATAATAAGCACATTTGTTTGCTTTAAAAATTAATGACTACGTTAGAAACTAAAACTTCCTGGGTTTGATTCCTTGTCCTTTTACTAATAGCTCTGTGAAATTTGGCACCTCTTAGCTTCTCCTCATCTTAGTTTCTTTATAAAATGGGGATAATTGTACCTATTTCACAAGATTATTATGCTTGCTAATATAAAAAGCATACATTGTTATATATTCATGTAAGAATATACATTCCTATCTATGAACCTGTCACTGTGTCTAAATGATGTTAGGTGGCTCAGTAAATGAATGAGTGAATGTATATACACGTAAGCAAATATGTAAGTAAGGGATGGAATGAATTAAAGCACACAGAAGAAAAAGAATATGATTTTAGTTGGTGAAGGTCAGTTAAACATGTAAATTATTTAATGTGATTACACATGATGAACTAGAAAATGTAGGTGTATACTGTCTTTTAATTTTTTTGGTATATACTCTTAATTTATTAAATGTAATTTTCATTATTTTGATTATTCTCAGGCAGAAAAGGCTAGCTTGGTTCATTTATTGGATTTCCTAGGTCTGATTTTTCTCACAATGATTTGGGCCATTTGCCCTCGAGATAGTTTGGCACTTTTGGGCCAGTGGATACAGTCTAAACTGCAGGAGGTAAGTGTGAGACAGTAAGTAGAATTTGTAATGGCCTGTGATGAGGATATTTTAAATATTACTATAAAGTAACAGATACCAGGGATGTTTTCACATACCATGAAATACAGCTACTAAATTTTAGTGTCTTATGTTTTCTCATTTTTAGGGGATATTCTTTTTTTTTTTTTTAAAGATTTATTTATTCCATAGAGAGCACACGCACACATACACACACGCACAGGCATCAGCAGGGTGAGGGGGCAGAAGGAGAGGGAGAGAGAGAAGCAGATTCCCTGCTGAGTGTGGAGCCCTCAGGGTTCAACCTTACCCATGAGACCATGACCTGAGCTGAGACCAAGAGTCAGTGGCTTAACCAGTCGAACCACCCAGGCATTCCTTTAGGGGATATTCTTAATAACGAGCATTCAAATTAGAAAATACTACATCTTTTAAATGATGGAGGGTAGATGTGTTATCAGGGCTTGGCAACTTTTGGCTAACATAATATTGTGAAGGGGGGACATAATCATTGGTCTTAAGGAGAGAAAACATGGTCACAAATCCTTTCTTTCCTTTTGTCACTTTACCTTCAGACTTTTCAGTTTTGTCTCTCATAGTGACTGGTGTACTTATTATGACTCTCCCTTTCCCCAAATATTTGCATTCTGATGGGGAACTCTTAAAACCTGTGAACTTTTATGGGCACCGTGTTGCTGAAACTGCTTCACCACCCTCATCTCCTTACTCCCAGTTAAAATAAAACTACCTGGAAAATAACGAAAGGATAACCTTATTAGGTGTTTGTTAACTTTCATTTTAGTACTTATGTATAATGATAATCGTTGTAAAATTTATTGAGGTCCTCATTTTGTTCAAAACATTGAACTACTGAAAGTAGGTCTTGCAATCTTGATAATTGCTTTGTTAACTATGATTAATTATTTTATTTTACATCTTCACATATTTCCTCTTGTCCTGGGAGGTGTGGTGATTCAGGAACAATCTTATTTGTTTATTTAATGATTTGTGGAGCACCCATCATTGGGCCATCTGGGTGCTGTTTAAATCTAATGTGTAAAATTCTTTGAGACAAATTGCTTTTGAAATTGGATAACTAAGTCTTTTATTTAGTGTTACCATATCGTCTGGCTGCATTTATATTGAAATAAAGGTTCTTAAAAGGAAAAAAAAAAAGAATGGTTATTACTTAGGTTACAGGATCTCATATTTTGAATTTTATTTCTGTTATTGATATTCTGGGAAGTCAAAGGAGTTAATGTAGTTTTTTACCCATTTATCAGGATATAGCTTTTTTCTGTAATCTGAAGATTTTGTCATAAGAAAGATAACTTGTGGCTGTTTCTCTCTTGAAATACTTGATGAATCCTGCTACTTCATATAATTCTTTAAAAATTAAACTAAAAATAAAGTAGGGATTACTTCTCCTTGAACCCTTTTTCCCTAAATCAAGGCTTCCCCAGTAATTTTGGTGACAAGGAAATGTTTCTCTAGAAAGCCTTGCTTCTTATGATTGGAGAGCAGGAGGGGATATTGATAGTGAAGTCATAAAGGAGTGGGAATTGCTGACATTCATTTGCCAGAGAAAAGAAGAAACGGGCCTTCACGTAACTATCAGGGAATCCTATTTTTTAATCTTAAAAGATTGGGGTATAATATAGCAGCCCTCATAGAGTGCTACTAGGTACGGTTTTTGAAAGCTATTTGTAATAATTATAGTAGCTAAGATTTATTGAGTACTCACCATATGTTAGGCGCTAGGATGAACACTGTAGTTTAATTATGTATAGGGGTTAAGAATACAGCTGTGAATAGATGGACCTATATTTGAATTTAGGCTCTGTTAGACCTAAATTCTACAGAACTTGGGTAGATTACTTCACCAATTATAGGTCTGTTTCTTCATCTGTAAATTGGCATAATACTGGCTAACTCAAAAGAACTATTATGGGTTTAATGATGCATTTTAAAGTAGGATCCCTCAATCTAAGCACTATTGACATTTTGGACTAGATAATTCTTGTGGGAAATTGTCACGTGTATTGCAGGATATTTAGCTCTAAACATCTACTCTAAACATCTGACCTATACCCACTAGATGCCAGTAGCATTTTCACCCCCCTCTTCCCTCCCCCACAGTTGTGACAATCAAAAATGTCTCCAGGGGTGCCTGGTGGCTCAGTTGGTTAAGTGTTCAACTCTTGATCCCGATCGGTTCGGGCATGATCTCACCACAGGTCATGATCTCAGTGTCGTGAGATTGAGCCCCACATCAGGCTCTGTGCTGGGTGTGAAGCCTGCTTAAGATTCTCTCTCTCCCTCTGCCCCTACACCACCTGCATGCACTCTCTCTCTCTCCAAAAAAAAAGTCTCCAAACATTTCCAAATGTCCCTGGGAGACAAAATCATATCCAGTTGAGAACCAGTGATTATAAAGCATTTAGCACAGTACCTAGTGCAAAGTAAGGACTCATTAAATAGGAGCTATTATTATTTGCTCATTTTATCCTGTCTATAACCCTAGGAGGTTGGTGCTATTGCTACTCCATTTTACATATGATGCTACTGGGCTTAGAGGGGTTAAACAATTAGCCAAGGGTTCACAGTTAATAAGTGTCAGCATTTGGACTTGAGTGTAAATTTCTGTCCCTTTAAAGCCAATGTTTTTAACCAGTTATGCTATCAGTAGACTTGAGGGACCCTGGCAGATTGCTCATTAAGAGTGAAGACATGATATGGTATGTTCAGCAACCTAGAAAAGACATGATCGAGAAGGAGGAAAGTCATATCTAGTAGTCATGTGCTGCGGATCAGATTGATTATATTATTTCTAGACATCACTGACATGTAGCTACCTCTGAAAAAGTGTTTCCTCTATTAATAACTCTGTTCTCAAAAGTCCTGCCTATTGAGCCATCTATAAATTTTAGTACTTACTGAAAATTAGAATTTAACTGGAAAGCATTCACATAAATACAAGTAATTAAGAAAGTTAAAATTACGATATCTATTTGTATTTTTTTTATTGAGGTTGGAAGAAAATTTCATTTCCCTAACTAATCAATACTTAGGAAAGATGGAATTAAGATAATTTATCAAAGAAAGAAAATTCTGCTCTATGGTTAATTTTCTAACTGAAATAAATTCTCTAGTAGTGTCAGTGGTTATTATCTAGCTATATTTTTTCAATTGTCTTTTAAAACTGCAAGATCAAAATGTTCCTTGGCCATATTAAAAACTTGCTTTAATGAGCTTTCTTAGGGGATCCTCTACACGGTAGGTAGAGATTGTAATTGGGAAAATAGAAGTGCAGGTATCCCCTGCTTTCTGAAAGTTTGTGTTATGTCACTTGGCTTTTAGGCTTTTTTCATAAAAGCAAACATACTCTGGATTTCTTCTGGTTAGTGAAAACAGGTACTAATGTAAGTCTTTTCTAAAAGCAAAGTAGTGTGAGGCAAACTTTTGGAAAGTGGGGGATACTTGAACAGTAGTACTCCTCCCCCATTATCCATGGGCTGGGGGGGAGGGTGGGACATATTTAAGACCCCTAGTGGATAGGCCTCAAGCCTCAGATAGTATCAGATCCTATATATACCATGTTTTTTCCTGTACATACATATCTGTGATGAAGTTTATAAGTTAAGCACAATAAGAGATTAACAATAATAACTAATAATAAAATAGAACAATTATAACAACATACTGTAAAAAAAGTTACGTGAGTGTGGCCTCTCTCAAAGTCTTATTGTATGTACTCACCTTCTTGTGATGATGTGAGATGCTAAAAAATACCTATGTGATGGGATGAAGATAGGTAAATGACGGAGGCGTTGTGGTGTAGCATTAGGCTACTATAGACCTGACCATGTGTTAGAAGGACCATGTGCGGGTAACTCAAACCATGGAAAGTGAAACCATGGATAAGGGGGATTGCTGTACTTCATGTGATACTATAGACTGTCCAGAAGTCTGTAGGCATAATTTTTTTAATATTCTTTTCATGTTTTTAAAATATTAATCTGTGATGGAGGAAATAAAGGCTGCAATTTGTGTTTTATGTCATGGTGTTCTTTAAATGTTAATCATGGAAAGCATAAAAACTTTATCCTAGATGCTCCATGAAATTAATTTTAAAAATTGCACTTTGTTACTCCTTTTACTGTGAAATAAATATGCTAATGGAGCTTCTCTTTCTTATTTCTTCTTAGTATATGTTTGATAGACCGTACAGTAGAACATTGGAGGCTGAAGCTGACAAAATTGGATTACAGCTTGCTGCAAAGGTAAAATGCTTGGTAGTTGAGAAAACAGTGCCCTTCACACAGTGAAAGATAAATGTACGTTGTCTTAATGAGCTGTGGCATGAGCAGAGAATGAGAGTTGGACTGTATGAAATTTTTCATTAATACCTTTTTAAATTTGTGTACTCTAGAAGCTGATATACTATCTTTATTTTACTCCTCTCCTTTTTTTGTTGATCTAAGGGGGCTTTTTTTAGTAAAATAATGTATAATTGTTTTTCCCCACTCAGAGAAAGGTTTGTTCTATTGTAGCTATGATCCTAGATGAACCACCTGAATTTTTACAATTTAAGTAAACAGAAGAACAGGCTTATTACTTTGTGTCTTTGAGATTATTTTTGTTGCAGCAAATGACTGACCTTTGCTAGCCACAGAGGGCAGCTCTGAGCCTTCACCATGATTTAAGTTGGCTTTTGCTCATGTCTCCTTTACAGGGCACTGCATGCCTGACTGCTGTTTTTATCATCTGTGATAACTGAGCATTATTAGTAGAATTTAATATTAGAAGTAAAACTGCATTTTTAAAAATGAGTAAAAACAATGCCACTTTGTACATTAAATTCAAATTGTACTTGGTTCTTTGTTGAGTTTCCAGTAGTTATTAAAAGTCCTAGCTATTAGAAATCACTATTATTTGAAGTTCTTATTATGAGTTTTATAGATTTAATTTCATAAATGAAGATATTACTCATTCACAAAAACAAAAGTAGTTATGTGAATGTTGTATAATGAGAATTGAGTGAATTATCTGACTGTAGATTAAGAGGTTCCCAAATAGTGGGCCACAGATTGGCACAGTTTCCTAATTTCCTGCACTATAGTCTATGAAATTATCCTTTTAATATGTGTGTTTTGTGTTCTGGTTAAGAAATCTTTGCCTATTTTCAATAAATTGTTACTGTTTTATTTTCAAAAAGCTTATTATTTTATTACCTTTAAAAATATACTACACAGAAGAGGTTAAGATAATTTCTTTCCCATGTGGGTATCTAATAGCCTCAGCCCTGTTTATTGAAGAGTTATCTTTTCTCCACTATACTTCAGTGTCTTTTTGTCATAAATGTGGGAGGCTATAGAGAAGTCTATTTCTGGACTCCCTATTGTATTCTATTGGCCTGTTATCTGTCTTTGAGCCAATACCACATTGTCACTATAGCTTTGTAGTAAGCCGTGATATCTGATAACTTCTGTCCTCCAGTGTGGTTGTGCAAGATTGACTTGGCTATTCTTAGTCCCTTTCCTTTCCATATAAATGTCAGAATCAGTTTATCAAATTACACGCCTGTACAAAAACATGCTTGGGATTTTGATTGGAATTGTGTGAATTTGGGGACAATTGACTACTGTCAATAATATTGAGTCTTCCAGCCCATGAGTGATTTATTTGTCCATTTATTTAGATATAATTTCAGTGTTATTTTCAAATATTGTGTGTGTGTATAGGATTTACACATCTTTTGTTAAATGTACTGCTAAGTGTTTGACTTTTTTGATGTTATCGTGAAGTGTCATTCAAAAAATAAACTTGGGGCGCCTGGGTGGCTCAGTTGGTTAAGCGACTGCCTTCGTCTCAGGTCATGATCCTGGAGTCCTGGGATCGAGTCCTGCATTGGGCTCCCTGCTCAGCAGGGAGTCTGCTTCTCCCTCTCACTCTCTTCCCTCTCGTGCTCTCTGTCTCTCATTCTCTCTCTCTCAAATAAACAAATAAAATCTTAAAAAAACCAAAACAAAACAAAAAAAACAAAAAATAAACTTGATCATATATAGAAGTGCAGTTTGTTTTTTATAAATGAACTTGTATCCAACAACCTTGCTAAAGTCACTTATTCTAATATTAGGTAGATTCTTTTAGATTTTATTTATACACATTTGTGTTGCCTGTGAATAATGACAGCTTTAGTTCTTCTTTTCCAATCTATGTACTTTCTTTTTTTTACCTTATTGCAATGGGCAGAAACTTCAGTACAATGTTGAGGGTGAGTGGAGAGCACTTTTGTTTCTTCATGATGTTAGGGGGAGAGCATTCAGTATTTCACCATTCTGGGGTCTAAGGTTTTTTTTTTTTTTTTTTTTTTAAATCTGACTTTTTAGAAGAGTTGCTCTTCTATTTCTAATATGCCAAGAGATTTCTTTAAAATTATGAGTAACTGTTAAATTTTATCAAATTCATTTTTTTGTATTGATGACTATATAATTCTTCTCCTTTAATCTGCTAATGTGGCAAACTACATTGATTTTTATTTTACACATTCGGACAACTTGTTATTTTTGAAATAAACCAATTTTATCAATTATATTATCCTTTCAATATATTACTGAAGTTGGTTTGCTAACGTTTAGCTTAGCTTCATAAGAGATACCAGCTTGGAATTTTCTTTTCTTGTGATATCCTGTCATGTTTTGGTATTAAGATTATGCTGGCCTCATAAAATGAGTTGAGAAGTGTTTTTTGTTTTTTTTTTTTTTCCTTTGGAAGAGTTTGTGTAATATTAGTGATACTTATTTTTTAAATGTTTGGAGATTTCATGGGTAAAGCTATATGGGCCTACAGATTTTTTTGTGGGATGGTCTTTAATTATGGATTCAGTCTTTTTAACAGATACAGAACTATTCACATTTTTGTTTTGTGTCAGGTTTTTTGTTTGTTTGTTTTTTAATAGAGAGTGAATGAATGAGGGGAGAGGCAGAGGGAGAGAGGGAAAGAAGCAGGCTCCGTGCTGAGCGTAGAGCCTGATGTGGGGCTGGATCTTCTGACCCTGAGATCATGACCTGACCTGAAATTGAAAGTTGGAGGCTTAACCAACTGAGCCACCCAGGCGCCCCAGTTTTGTATCAGTTTATATAAGTTAGAACATCTAGAAATGTATGTTTTGTTTAAATTCTCAACATTACTGGTATAAAGTTTTTTAATTTACATATATATCTATATTTGCATTTTGTGTTTTTTTTACTGAAGTATAGTTGACACACAATATTACATTAGTTCCATGTGTACAAAACAGGGATTTGACAACTCCATATGTTATGCTCACCGTTAAGTGTAGCTACCGTCTGTCACCATGCAATGCTGTGACATTGATTGTGTTCCGTATGCTGTACCTTTCATCCTGTGGCTTATTCATTCCATAACTGGAAGCCTATATTTCCTGCTCCTTCACCTATTTTGCTGCCCCTTCATGCCCATCTCCACTGGCAACCATCAGTTTGTTACCTTTACTATATTTTTAATGTGAGACACTGCATTCTACAGCTATATTTTGTTTATTGAAAAGTTAATACAGTTTTATTTAAGGAGTTTCACATGTTGTGATTCCTTCTACTGGCAATCACCTTAGTTCTTCTAAAGTTTAAGTGATAATCTTCAAGGTAGCCCTTTTTTAAAAAAGTTTTGTCTTGACTTCAGCTCAGGTCATGATCTCAGGGTTGTGGGATCAAGCCCCATACAGGGCTCAGTGGGGAGTCTGCTTGAGATTCTCGCTCCCTCTCCCTCTGCCCTTCCCCTCCCGACCTTTTCCCCCCTGCTCATGCACTCTCTCTCTCTCAAAATAAATAAATGAATCTTTAAAAAGATGTTTTGCTCAGTCCACAGTTCTTTTAGTTTGGCTTCTTTGATTCCACTTGAATATGGACATGCTTCAGAAATTCACCAGCTGTAATATTTGGGATCAAGTTTCTTTAAGCAGTTTATTTAGGGCCATGTTTAGGGTCTGAGTAGATGGATCTGCCTAGTTCTCAATTTCAGATACCCTCTAAACACGAATAAGTTCAAACTGTGTTCACTCCTAAACTGTCACACCCTAGAATAGTACAGATTATTGGGATATGCCAATACCTAAGATTAAAATAATTCAACTATTAGTTCTTGGTTTTAGCAGATCTGTCTTGTGGTTCTTTCCCACAGATAACACACATTTCAGCATGTGTATTTTCTGTCACTGTCTTGTAGCTCACTAATCTTACTTTCAACTGTGTCCATTCTGCCATTAAACTTATCTTTGACTTTTAAATTTTAGTTATTGTATTTTTCCATTCTAGAATTTCCATTTGATTATCTTAAAAATTTCAGTTCTCTGGTGAAATTCTCTGTTTTGTTATAATTCATATATTCTTGATTATGTTAATCATAATTGTTTTTTAAACATCCATGTTTTTTAACTCTAATTTCGTTATCTCTGGGTCTGTTTCTATTTTCTGTTTTTTTACCTTTGGTCTTGTTTCTTGGTATGCTTGCTCATTTTTTATTGAATTCTGGACATTTCATATAAACAGTACTATTGGCTCTAAATGATAGTTTCTTCCATTATAGGGGATTCTCCCTTTAGTCTAGAGGACAACTAGAATAGAGCAGATTATTTCAGTCAGTCAGAGCCTGAGCTGGGTCTTCATAAGTTCTAATTTACCTCTACTTCACCTTCATTCATGAGTATTGCTGTTCAGGGAAGTCTGCTGAAGGTATGGAGTGTTTACTAAGTTCCTTCTCTGTAGTGGTTTTTGAACTTCAGTTTTTGACCTGCCAGCACCATGAGACTGTTGAAATCTCTGTTCAGTTTTCATCCACTTTTTGTTTAAAAAAGTGCCCTGTGCAGCTTAAGAATCGATAAGACGCCTTAGTGAACTGGCATCCGGTGGTGTCTTTGCCCTCCTATCTTTCAAATCTTAGCTTCTCAAGTTTGGCTGCCTTATCAAGCCTGACTTGTAAGTTTGGCTCTCTAGTCCTGCTAAACAGCTGAAAACTCTCCTTAGTCACCTCTTTCTGCTTGGATTTCCTTTGAGTTCTGCTTATATTCTCAGCCTCTGGCTCTTCAGTGCTTAGAATTTAACAGATTTCACTGAAAGCAAGAGCAACACACAGATCAGACTCACCTCCTTGAGCTTTCCTTCTTCCTGGAATTTTGGCTTTTCTACTCTTGGCTGACTCGGTAACTCTCCAGTACCTTTGAACAAATACTATTTATATTTTATCCAGATTTTCTAATTTTTTT